ATCTCTAGGGTCAAGTCTAATCTCTGATGCTTTCTTCATGTTGTTCACGTCCAATCCGTTTGCTGGCGAGAGTAAAACTGTTTGTCGGGCTACACTACTGTAGAGTTTATACTGTCTTACACGTGCAGGGATTCTTGGAAGACACTCTTTTCTCTACAGCACACTTGTGAGTATGTTAAAAAAGCGATCATATTAGTATATAGTCTTCGTCATACTACACCCGTGAAGGTCCCGGGTTATAGAAACGACCTTCAGTAACCCATGCTTATCGGCGACTGACGGGAATCGGTTGGTCAGTCTCGCCGACTCGGATGACACGTGCCATCGGTTCCTAGTTGCCGAGATCGCTGCTCATGCTGTTGATCAACTGGATTGTCTGGTCCAAGCTCGTTTATTGACAGACCACCGTCCTAGAGCTGGAATAATGCCGAGTGTGCCGTAAAACTAAATTCACTCACTCACTGGTACCAATACATCTAAAAAGGTAATGTCATCATCATTTAAATGGTGAGTTTAAACGCGTATTTTACCCTTACGAGGACGAGTGCATTCCACACACCCTTCCTGTTATCAAAGCGTCACTGTTTACAGTTCGGGCGAACATAACCCTATAGACATGTGTGCGGGCGAGTTCATTCATCAGAAATCTGTCATTTACGATGTGTTTATAAATATGAACTGCTAACCACGCTCATAGTCATGTTGCGTGTCGTGGTTAGAACCGTAATTGATCTATTGAAAGGTGTCATACATTCGTGTTCGGATATAGGTACAACATCTTCACGCACATACTTTCCTACATCATTCAAATGTATTAAATACCGGATACGTTTAATAGACACCAACGAAAGAAAGGTTTAATGACGGGGGGGAATACCCATATATATCCTCTCTGAAATAACTCCCTTTTAAAATAACAAATGTACAACACATGTTCCCTAACATATCATAAATACGGGACACTGATCACACCATTTATGAATGGGAAGCTTCAGGCGAGGCTGGTATGTTGACATTAATTGTAAGGCCCGGGTATGTTGACATTGTTATGGGCGGTCGGTCGCTGAGTCTCTCTGCTATACATTAGCTATGAATAAACCTACTTCGACATATATTTCCAATAAAACATTTTCCTCGTCAAACAATTTTCCATGATAAACTCCTGTTCTCTCTTCGAATTAAGGGTGAGTATTGTAAACATGAAATGTCTTATAGATGGCTTCCATCACTTTCCCAACAAACCTAGCTTCGTGCCGTCACACAGCTACGTGTACTCATCAGTTTTCTATTGAACATAGACATGGTTCTAACTATCTATTGTCAAAATAGCACGTTCTGAAGTAAAAACTGTGCACATCATGATACACGGTTAAAACTCAAATCGTAGGGCTTATTTGTCATCGCGTTAAATGGAAACGCTAGCGTTGAAACATCAACTATGCAAGTCGGGACAGGGCTGAATAAGTGAACGCCCTCTATACAAATGGTTCACAATAGTACGCAGCGCGGGGTGATTCGAAATCCGGCTGCCTTCAGCGTTATAGTCAATGCAGGGTGACGTGACTACCTCGTTCTTGCGCGCTAAACGTCACTGCTAGCTTACTGATTGTGAAGTCTTATCTATTTTATCTATATATTTCTTTTCTATATAGGTCGTCTAACGTTCGTGGTGTACAACGTGTAGACCGTACAAGATGAATTTGATCCAGCTAGACGTACAGTTTTTTTTCCTACATTACCCGACGTATATCGTGTTGACTTAACCCGTCTCCATTGTGGTACTTATACTTTCAACACACACCCTGCATTCATCAAAACCAGGTCGCACGCTCTAGCGAGCGCGGGTTAAACGACGAGGCCACGTCAGTTGTCAAGCGCGCTCAATTCAAACTGGGCTGACGGGTACGGTCTGTCTATTCAAGGCAGCACGCTATACACATAGCTCTATTCATAACCTTTTACTTTTGTTTTCTTATGAATTCTTTTCTGTCTTATAAACACACACCTTTCATTCCCCCTCACCTGTGACGCGCTGTTGATGCATGAGTCATCCTATTCGATCACGTGACTTGGATCAGCCAATCACCTTCGCATCCGCCTGGATCAACCGGATCAACCAAAATGGCCTTCTGCGGACTTAGACTATACTACTACTCCCCAATGGTGAGCGAATGGCAAGAAATGCTAGACTAGTGTTGACCTTTACATTTTTACCACATTATCCGCCGTTATTCCAATATTAATTCCCCATTTTATCATATCAATTCATTTCTTGATGTCGCACATTTGATTTTGTGTGTGTGTGTGTGTGTGTGTGTGTGTGTGTGTGTGTGTGTGTGTGTGTGTGTGTGTGTGTGTGTGTGTGTGTGTGTGTGTGTCTGTGTCTGTGTCTGTCCGCTTGTACTAGTCCGGACTGATGCCGATTTTATAGTGCTAGCCCGATGAGATACCATGTCGCAGGTTAACATGAATACTCCACTCAGACACAGTACACAGACTCCGAGCCGACCAGTCCTTATGTTTTGCCCCGTAATGCCGTGCACCAGGCTGGGTAACAACAAATTCCATCATTTAACCTCTTTTTGCATGACACACGGGAAGGGATCACACCACTGACCTGCCGCTCTCCAGGCAGACGGTCTCATTTCATGATAATACATAAATAATCATGAAAGGACCAATATGTGATCTTTTAACGTCTTTTGGTATGAAGCGGCCGGGGATCGAACCTACGACCTTCCACTCTCCAGGCAGACGCTCTGACAATAGACCACGGAGGAAGTCCGCCAGCTGCAATGAAGACTCGGGTGTGTTTGATGGGGAGGAACCATGATCATGTGGGAAGGGATCACGACGTAGGATAAAACAGAATTTCACATCCTCCAGGGACGAATCGCTGGTGTCCGCTTCCGAACACCATCGTCACCTCTCACGACGTGCCGTTTGTTCAGCGCCATAGCCAACGGCTCTGTGTTCAAGGATGAGAACACCAGAGGTCACCATGCGTTCTGGACCATCTACAGGGGCTCCGGATACAGACTTCACTTTGACCAGCGATGTCGCCCGACCTCTCCAAATAAAACAGGCGTTGGGCAGGCGTCTACATCAACGACTTCCAGAGACCACCAGGAACTGATCCGCCAATGAGGACTGGCCGACTTATACATACATATATATTATGCGACGTCGATAGTGTGCCTGTTTGAAAGGCAGAGGCGGTCCAACTCGATAATAAACACATGTGAATTTTTCTCGCCTAACCCTTGCTTGCAAAACGTTGTCACGTGACATATGGTCTTCAGCTCCTCGAAGTTGTGCTCTTTGCTTGTGTTTTTTACCGATAAATTAAAATCCCCGCTGGTGCCAGTTCGTTGCGTATACGCAGGAATATCATTTCATGAGCGGTATGTGATTATAATTTCGTTATTAATGAGATCGCCTCGTGGGGATTCACAGTTAGAACAGGTCCCCAGAAACATATACTGGTCATAAGAGGCGACTGTTAATTAATGGATCGGGTGGTCAGGCTATGTGACTTGATTGGTTGCGCGTCTTTGTACCCTGCGGCGTGCATCATTGTTCATAATATCAGTCACTGGATTATCTCGCCCAGACTAGATGTTTACAGGCCTCCGTCATACCTGGGATGCCGTAGACTATTGCCGGAACAATAGGCACTTATTAAATGTATCTTCATCATTTAAAACATACCACGACGTGAACGATTAATTTAGAGCGGTCAATAATGTATGTGTGTATGTTCCACGTATGTCTTTATCGGTCCACTTGGTTTATTCCGATACTTATATAATACCTGGTCAGTCATTGGTCAGTAGAGTATGACGTGTAACAACAATTATAAATATGGACAGATGTCCAAAATTCCTTTCTTTCTGAAAGAGGGGCAACTCACTTGTATGTTTCTCAGGCCATAGTGTTTTGTTTCTTTGTTTGTTGTTTGGCGCCGAACTCAGCAATATTCAAGCTATATGACCTATAAATAATCGAGTCTGGACCAGACGATCCAGTAATTGACATCATGCGCATCGATCTACGCATATGGGATCGATGACATGCATCATCCCAGTCAGCGAGCCTGACCATCCGATACTGTTACTCGCCTCTTACGACAAGCGTGGGTTGCTGAACACCTATTGTCAACCCCGATCTACACGGGGTCATGGTCAGGTGATTTTCCTGAATTGTATATTAGAAAAAGCTCAATCACTATTGGTGTCCATCGATACACTTTGAAGTTAGGTTTAATTTACAATTGGTTTACGTGTCTTTGGTGATCTATATTGATTCCCGTTGAGTTGGTAAGCTGTTCCAGAGAATTTTATTTCATTTTTTCCCCAAATACACATATGGTGGCGATGGAGGTAGTATAATAGCATAGTGGTCGAAGTGAGTGAGTAAGTGATTAAATTAACGCCGCTTTTACAATATTCCAGTTATATCACGGCGTGTCAGCTTAATGTGGGAGGAAAGCCCGAAGGGATGCAGGTGTCAGACGTTTACCACTTCGGTGAAACCCACGAGTACGGGTATGGTGCTGACAAAACTAAAAACATAATTTGGGCGATCCGGGATTCGAACCCACAATCATAGGTTTCTGGCCTGCCCAAGGGACGCAACTCTGCACAGCGAATCGCGGCGCTACAGACGACTGGGCCCCCTCCCCCCCCCCCCCCCCCCCCCCCCCCCCGCCCCCTGCCCCCAAGTGGTCGAAGAGCTTGCAATTGCTTGTGGCGATGAAGACCTTGGTCAGATTCCCAGCACCCATCCGCTCAATGCATACATGCATTCAAAACAACGTAAACGGTTAGAAATGTTATAATCGTTATACTGACCGATTAATGTCAACTGGTCGACAAAAGGACGCCGAATAATAATGGCCTGGGCCCATTTGCACAAAGCCACCTGTTGTGTAGGTGTAGGTGTAAATAGCTCTATATGATCCTTGTTCTTTTCACTATTCACTATAACACAATATATCATAATATATCATCTGTTTATTTGTGTAAAAGATTTAACCATATGCACACATGCACAAATGAATTTTTGCATGACAAAGTCTACTTGATGATTACAATCATGTACAAAAGTAACTCATTAGAGATGGCAAAAAAGTCCAACAACTGACCTAATCGACATGCTTTTCCTTTCTCAAGACACGGCTTTTAGCCTTTCATCCTTTTCTTTCTTTCTACAAAACAGAGAATGGAAGGGGAAAAGGTGCCCCCTGGCCCGTTTGGAGTAGGTCATGTACATGACGTCACCAATCAGTACACAGATGAAGGATATGATGACCAGGTAGCCAAACACTTCCGTCTGAGGGAAACCCACCACGAGGGCGAACTTCAGCATGTCTGCGAGTCTGTTTAGTGAGTTTTGAACACCGTTCACAATGCCACGTTCATTCTCAGCAACGTGTTCAAGAAACAGCTGCGTTATCGTCAAGTCAGCTATCCACAAACCTGGAAATATTAAACAGGAAATTGTATAGCGTGGGACTAAGTCTAAGGCTGTTGACAACCAACACAAAAGTTTCATAAACATATGCCGAAGAACGACTTCAACATTTACCTTAAATTTACATTAAAGTTGAATGACGCTTCAGCTGTTGGCCACAACCCCAATGGGTATTGAAATATAATCTTCTTCTTCTACTCGATCCCTCTATCCTTCTAAATTGGAAAAACCCTTCATTGCATGACACGTAAATGTTTGCTTTAACTTTTGAAATATCCGTATGAAAATCAACAGACAAGTGACAACTAGCTTAACTCTTTCTTTCTTACTATTAGAATGTGTTGAGATATTACAAGTGGTAAAAGTCTATTTTTCGGACTCAAGTTGTTTCATCATATGTTTGTACTGTCTATACCGCCTCGGGAATTCAGCTAATGGTTTTGCTCGACTCGCAAATAAATCATAAATGCTCCTTGCCAAACTTTGTCCTTTGGCTGCCAAGCCTAAAAGCCATGCACCTAAACCTACATAACCGTAAACTGTTGTCTTACCAAATCTTGCTGTGACTATTCCTGTCATCAATAACGTGACAGAAATGACGTTTGTAGTAATCGGCGGAGATCCTCCACACGACGTAGCCTCTGGCGTCACGGCGGTTGCATTGCCATTGACGTTAATGGTGGCCTTAAACGTACAGCTGACGTTAGGTAAAGCTGGACGCTCAAAGTAGTACCGAGGCTCAAAGGGACTGCCGGGTGCCCACACTGATGAAACACACAGCATCAGACAGCCTATCTGAGAACTCATCGCAAACAATCCCGTTCTCTCAAGGCCGATACGACGTCGTAAAACTGGGTAGGTAAACGTGCCGATGATACCTACTACCGCCCCTGTTGCCGTCGCCAGGCCAAGAGCACCTTCAGTTACTCCTTGAGTATACGCGTAACCTGGAAAGGGGAATATTAATCATGAATGAAACTTGTCTGAGAAAAATGTGTCTGATGTGTGAAAAAAAATCATGGCGATAAATACGATTTGGTTTTCTCCGGTAAAAATGCGTGTTTGATCAACGAGATTTGTTCCCTTCACCAATTTATGCCCAGGGGCTTCGCTTACTGAGAAAAAACCCGGGACTCGTTCAACAAAGCGATCTTGGTAGTCTTAGCTCTGTGATCGCTTTGAGAAACGAGGGTCTGGTGACCTGGTCATTTGAAAAAAAATAAGCTTCAGATAAGCAACATTCTTTCAACTCTTACAATTTGTGTTGACCAATGCATCTGGTACATTGAGTATTCAATTGAGCAGAAAGGAATTCTTTATTTAAAAAAAAGAATTCAAGTTTTTTTAAAGTTGCCTTCAAAGAATCCTGCCGTAGAAGTGTGTATCATTAAGATCATTATTAGGATCATTTCTTGCCATCTCCTGCCAGGGTGAATGAATAAGATGGACAAAAAAGAAAACAACATGGAAAACATCAACCGTTGCACCTTAAGAAATTATTTAGGCAAAATGACACTGTTCATAAAATACAACAGGAATAAGCATTTTGAATGGTCGTTCCAGAAACAGGTTCTCATTTGATGCATTGCTTTTCACAAACTTGACCCTCATAAAGATCTTTTTTAGAGTTGGTCTTCAGCGAACCATGCTTGTCGTAAGCGGCGACTAGTTAACGAAATGGGGTGGTCAGGGTCGATGCATCGTATCCCAGTTGCATAGATCAACGCTCATGATGTCAATCACTGGATTTCCTAGTCAGACTATTATTTATAGACCACCTTCATAAAGCTGGAGCTTTGCTTGGTGTGGCGTTAAACAACAAACAAACACAGAAACAAACAAAAAGTTAACATCACAACTTACCGTTGGTAATATTGTCGAATCCTAAGACTGTCAGATACAACATGGCCAAGCCAAGGCCGGCGTTGGCAACGTCATACTGCATGAACGTCCTCCACCCGGTGTATAGGGTGATGAAGGGAGAAAATGCACCCCGGAGACAAGAGGATGTCTCTTCGACCTTTTCCTGCCCTTTTTTATTGCGTTCACCCGGGATAGCCGTGTCATTAGGTTCTTTCTCGGGGAGTTTTTCCCGAATAAGAGTCCCATTTTGTTTAGGCTCTGTATCGAACAGTCCCTCCCGAACGACCGTGTCATTTTGCGTAGGCTTCGATAGGGATGCGTCTGTTAACGGCACCAGCTCTGTACCCTTTCCAGCGTAGTACCCCTTTTCGTCATCATTGTCCACACCTAAAACATTTCTGAAATGATTAGTTGCTGGGTGGTTGTGGCGTTCATTTCAGTAGAATAAAGGTACTTTGGGACGTATCACGTAGTATTCTGGGATTTGGGGCTGGGCTGTTAGAGACAGCAATTGTTTTCGGTCACCGCTTCAAGACGCAGAATTCGAACAATTGAACACAATTTTACAACACCAGGACACGAAGCACGACCAGTGAACCATCAATCATTTTTGTAAAACCTGGAGCAAATTCTTTTGTCGTGTATTTTCTGGAGCAAAACATTATATTCCACAAATTCACCCATAACCCAATAACCCCATATCTTCCCACCCAGCTCATCAGCCATGATCAATATCGGAACAAATCTCCGTATCTGAAAATCATTTAAGTATGCTGCCTCATAAAAATAACTGGTACAAATGACAAAAAAATAGTAAACATGTAATTTCCCTTTCTGAATAGATTTAGGATAAGAACCTTTGTTTCTGATTTTGGCCTTCTGCAGGGCAGGCACCGTATCGTACACCTTCCACAGTAGGTAGTACTCCAGGAACACAGTGCCCAGGTTCCAGGCAGCCATGAAGATAGCTCCGTTCCTCAGCTCGGTGAAAAACATGATCTCTCCCGTCACCACCGGTGCCAGTATTGTCGCTGCAAGGTCGATCCGTCTCATGGTTGCTGTCATCTCTGGTAAAACCAAAGATGCATGTGTACAAACCATTTACTTGTTAATGATATCAACAATGTCGAGTTACAGATTTGCTTACCTTTATTGCATTCATTTCACAACCTGGTCTTACTTTCTTTCATGTTTCTAAACTTATTTGTCATTTGAGGCATTTTGCGAACACCTGGTGTCTTCACTGATGTTTTGTGATCCATTCATATAATTCTTGCAGCTATTTTACTTCACGCCAACTGGAATCTGTTTCAGTGGATAATAGCTTTCAGTTTCATTCTTCATCCGGGTCTCACCATGTTTACACTTACTCCACATCCGATACCAGCCTATCCAGAATACACGTCGAGTAGACAGTGTTAAATCTCACCTGCTAACCTGTCCACGTCGTTACCACATATTTCCACAATCCAGTCCCTCTCAATCGCAATCATTCGGGCAGTGCTGCTCAGATCAGCTAGGATCGCGAAGACGATGATGACAGCGAAGGATACTTGTTTCAGACCACCGTGCCAAATGGGGGTGATCTGGTCAATGTAGGACAGATGGACACACACTGCTAGTGCACACAGGGCCACGAAGAGATTCTGGAGGACGAGGGACAACTGGGCAGCTGCAACAGTCGACAAATAATAGTCATAATCGTACTCATAATCATAATCATCATCAAACCAAGTCGACCGAGAAACCACATTAACTTAGGACAGTACCCGAAATAAAACGCATAAGATGCAACCGTTCATATAATACAAAATGGTTGCAAGGAGGAGAAAGACGACAGCCAGACTAAAGTGTATTTCTAAAACACACAACTATCAGAGGTTAACAAAGCTGCCATTTTGCCTTTTCTATTTAATGCTTGTAAAACGACAAGAAAGATCAAAATAACATGTAGAACATCTCACAGTGATACAAAACCATCAGCAAAATTGCATTATTGATTCTAAAGTATCAACAATCAAAAGTTTAATTTTCCTGTCGCATATCGGAAACATACATACTATCTATATCTAAGTAAATACATTAATTGAAATGCTTTTATTCACGATTGAACCAATAAATGAACTTAATTAGCTTCAACGGGGGTATCCGAGGAGCTTAGTAGGTATGGGAACGTTAGGTCAACCGTAGTATGACGTAGATCATTCAAAGTGTGCTAACAAGGTCAACTAAGACCAACTTTGGTTATATTGAGGTCATGCATGGGTTCACCTGGTTCGTCGAAGGTTTTAAAATCGAAAGCAAGCTTTGTCAGCTCGAGAGAACGACATCCCGAATACCTTCAGAATTAGTTCAGTATACCCGAATTGCACATGAACACATTTAAAAGCAGAAGTAACTATGATCATATAATTATTTTGCAAACTAAATATTGATAATAATGGTGATATGGGCTTTATAGGTCAACCTATGTACTGTTTGTCGAGACAGACCCGGTTCTGTCAATGCCACCTTTCCCTTTCAAATTGTTGTACATAGGAACACACGAATATGACACTTATTTGACACTTCACCAAAACATTGTTTCAAAACCATAAAGCTTGCGACTCAGAATTTAAATATAGATTTATTTATTTTAATATGTTTGTATTTCAGTTGAGCACCACCTTAAGAGTTCACTATGTGTCTTCGCAGATAGGGGTCTTGATTTAGTTCTGCTAAAATACACATGTCAATATGATGAAAGGAATCGGTTGACAGTTTCGTTTGTCGTCGACTATACGTCTTTCACAACTAGGGGGTTTACAGTCGGGATCGTCGTATCCGACGTTATGGTTGGTTGTGTTATATTCTGTCTGAGAATAGAAAGCCCATTCGCCATGTTTGTTGGACCGTTGGACAATCACGTTGGACCTGATGTTTTCAAACGCTTAACGCTTAACGCCGCCTTGAACAAAGCTTCTGTTATATCATTTTGTGGTATCTGCATGAGAGAAGAAAGCCCGAAGTCACTTCTGAAACCCACGAGCACGGTTATGGTACTTAGAGACCTTGGATAGACTCCTGGAGCGACTAAGGGGCGCAACCTTATCGGCGGCTGTTTTTTAAAAGTTTTGAAAGAGTAAATTTGCAGTAAAATTAATATCCGTTGAAATCAGCCTTAGCTCAAGCCGTGGGCTAAGTAATTCAACCAGAAGAAGACAGACACCAGTCGAAAATGTCCCCCATGGGCATGACTAAACAATCTGGAATGACACCGCAAGAGAACCGGTCAGAGATTCAATCCTATTTTATTAATAGTGTCAATATGTGGTCGTGTCCCTTTATCATTCTTTGATTGGCTCTGTCGAACTTTAAGAAGGAATATTGATATAAACAGCCTTATTGTCAACTTTACGAGGTTTCGGTCCAACTACAACGATTTTGTTACAACTTAGTTAAAGTAGGTGCTGTAACGTATTTGGTTGAGCTAAGGAAACCCAACTTTTCAACAAAGCTGACAGGTGGTTACATTGTGTCAATAATTTGTTGAATTATGTGTCATGATACTATGTCCCTTTGAAAGCAGCACTGGAACTTTGTACACAGTACCATACACAGTGACACACTGACCTTTAAGCCGCGCTGTCTTGTCCACCCAGTCTCCTATCAACGCCCCCAGCAGCAGGATGGACAGGCCAGTTGACAGACCGTACGAAGCAGTCAGCTGAAGGGAGTTGGGCGACAGCTCGATCAGAAACAAACCAGTACCAAACCACCACATCTGGTCGCCCTGGTTATAAAGACATGACACGGATGCTATAAAGCTATTCTGGAGTAACCAATTAATAAGATAAGATATGGTTAGATAAGATAATAGTTTATTATCCTGAAGGAAACACAAGGTCTCAGCTTACTAATAAAAACACAAACAATAAAATAAAAGCGACATAACGATTTCCATATTCATTAGAAATCTCTGCCAATAACAGAGTCGATTGTACGATTCCGACTCTATCATGACCATGTGTTTATGAATCACTATTAAGTAATGATGATACGAGGTGTTCGCGAAAGGATGACCCTATCCTGCCCCACCGGTGGCCCCCGGCACAAACACATGCAAAGACAAGTCAATTGTTCACCTGAAAACACGGGTATGGTACAAGTCTCTTAAACAATTATTCATTACAAACATTATCATAAAAGCTAGTATTAATTGTAGTAAATGAATTCCAGGCCCTGTTTGCTCTGTTACATATAGCATCAATTTTAAATTGAGAATTGCCATGAACCCATTCGCCACCCTGGTTTTGGAATAAATGTATTAAAATGTAGAATATGTAGTCACTTCATAGCCTTCATAACTAATATATGGTGTTAATCGGACTACATGCAGAATATAATGTCATGCACTCTTGATAACCGTTCCCTTACTTATTTTCCTCAGCATATATGAAACTTACCCATGTTGATAGAAAGTGGCTGAAATATATCAGGGAGTTGGTGCTGGTCAGGACACTTTTCACGCGGCCTTCAAGAAGACAGCATATATAGGTAATAATAATCGCATGCAATGATTTCCGGGGACTTTTTAAGAGACGCTGTCATATCCAAAAGACAATGTTATATGCACGAATTGACGTGCGCAATAACTTTTCCAACGACTGTCAGGATGTAGACCTGGGTACTTGTTTATACTCGACACGAAGTCATTATTACAGATTCGAAAGTTCGAGCTTACGTATGTTCAATTTGTAACAATTCATTTTGATGTTAGAGTTCCGTTATAATATTTAAATGTATAATTGTTCAAAGAATAATGTTCTCAAAACACATCAGACCGATTAAACCCTCGCTGATTCTTCAGAGATGACAGTTTTGATTGATGAACTTCGAAAAATACCACATTATAATAAAAGAACTAGATCACAATTTGTGTTGAAGCAAAGGTCTGGTTACACTTGTTGACTACAATCGACTTCGTCATATCCGACTTCATTATAACCGACTTTTTTTATATCCGACTTTGTCATATCCAACTTTGTTATATATACAATTAATGTGAGGTGAGGTGAAATGGGGTTTAACGTCGCGAAGTATATATATAGTGCGTGTGTCTGTTTGTACTTGTCCGGACTGATGTCGATTTATAGTGCTAGCTCACTGAGATACCATGCCGCAGTTTAACATGAATACCCCACCCAGACACAGTATACTGACTCCGGGCCAACCAGTCCTTGTTTTAGCCCCTTAATGCCGAGCGCCAGACAGGGTAACAACAAGTACCATATTTTAACGTCTTTTGATATGACGCGGCCGGGAATCGAACCCCGGACCTTCCGCTCTCTGGGCGGACGCTCTACCACAAGACCACGGAGGCGGTCTACAATTAATGTAGAAAGTGCATTATGTTTTCTCTTGGCTATTAACACCCTGGTCCTCGTACTGTCATTTAGTAGGTGAATCATTGTGCAGTTACCCTTAATGGACACACAAACAACGGACTGTCCTAACTGTTCCGTGATAATTCATAACGTTCAATCGGTTCTTTCCATTTTTATGTATAATGCACAAACGTCGATGGTGATAATTCATAACGTTCAATCGGTTCTTTCCATTTTTATGTATAATGCACAAACTTTCAATGCATTTCAAGAAATGAACAAAGTGTACAACGTGGTCTCAAGGTAATTATGATACGAGCCAAATTAAATTGTAATTCACAAATATGTTAATTTGGTTCTTTTGGTTGTGTTCAATATAGTTAATGTAAGATGAATAAACTCATGGCCTACCTGTCACAAGACCAGTCTGTTCAGACACTTTCCGCCATCCATTTGTGTCCGCCATGATTTAGGCAAATGGCTACCTAAGTTGCAATACTTCCTCTATGAAAACTACTGATACTTGTCGCCTTGAAATCTATATTGTGTTATGACTAATGCTACTTGATATGCATGACAATTATGATTATCTCAACCGTGAGTCTGAATCATGATATGTTGGTGTAGCTGTGGCCATAAAGAAATTACTAATAGATGGACAACATTCCTCATTACACACAATTAGAACAATGTAATTGTTCCGCTCTTTAGGAGAAAATATAATGTTTTCACTACAAATATATTTATGGAAAACACATACAATTATCGCCTGTTTATCTCAGGAATCAGGTTTGATGAAGATGAAGAATACAACAGCCAAACAGGGCTCCCGTACATGTATTCTTGCTTTCGCGTTCTTTTAATAAAAGATTAATTATTCAAAAGCAAAACATCGCTCACGTAATGTAGCTTCCCAACTCTCAATTTGCAAGTTCATTTGTAATTATTATTTTATTCAAATTAAATTCAGAAAGATATGATCTGGTTTCAGATTGGTGTCAAATATTTGTACTAATACGGGAACATGTGTGTCGAGTGAGTGTATTGAGTCTGTGACTGATTTAAGAATTGCTGTTCACTTTGTGTGATTTCACTGGGGTATGAACCTTCGTAGAATTCGGGCCAAACATTGTCTACAGGTCGTCGCAATCTCCGACGTCCATACGTAACTTCATATATGGGACGTCTTACTCCGCCGTCACATAGCTGGAATATTGCTGAGTTGAGTTTTTGAGTTAAACAACAGACGACGTGTTGTAATGCTGACGACTGCAGCTTGAAAGTACATTTACCCACTCATTCACTCGATTCTCCCGGTAGTCGAAAACATTTATTCTTTATGTGGTAAGCGTTTGTGTAGAATATATGTAGATTTACATTCTCAAATAATCTATCGCTTATTGTTAAACTCGGAAACATAAAGAACCTAAATTTAAAGAAATGTTTGTTAGGACGTAGCAGTATTGATGTATGTGCATATAGCGGTATTAGCGGGCATTTTGGTTCAACTCGGATCCGTGAATACGCTCTTCAAAAAAATGAAACACACAGGTAGATTTTTAGTAAATTTATTGTACCTAATAAATATTTAACTTAATATCAAAGATACAAATATGAAATTTTGGAGCTCGATAGTCACATGTTGTCGTTGTACAAAGGCATTAAAAACTGTTCATTGTCATATCACATAAGGCCACAAGGTTGTGCAGAACTCAGTGTCTCGTTTGACCTCCTCGGGCAGCATTCACGGCTCTGACTGGATAAGTGTACGAATTCTGTCCTGCGGAATTCTGCGCCATTCTGCTTGTAACGCGTTGGCCAGTTGTGGGAGTGTCTGCGACGGGTTCTGACGTTGACGTACACGTCGATCGAATTCATCCCAGATGGGTTCGATTGGATTGAGATCTCGACGGCCAGGGCAGGACGTTGATGTAGGCATCATGTAGGTAGTATACCGTGACACGAGCTGTGTGCGGTGGAGTGTTGTCCTGTTGAAACAGCTCCCTCTCGCAGTCAATGATTGGAAGAAGGTGAGGTTGAAGAATTTGATTCATGTAGCCATTTGCTGTCAAATGTCCCTAAACCACAACCAAGTCAGATCTCCTTGTGTAGGATGTGGCCCTCACCACGACACTACCGCCACCGAATTTGTCGAATTCACGTACACAATGTTGGGCAAAAAGCTCATTTCGACGACGCTAAACACGTTGTCTTCCATCTCACCGATGAATAAGAAATCGTGATTCATTGCTAAATAATACTCGTCTCCGGTTTCTCAAATTCCAAGGTTGAAGGTATGGCACCAACGCAAGCGCCGCTGTCGACGGATGTCTTAATGTGGCTCATAATCATACTCACTCATGTTGTGATTTCTAACTTACAATCTAAGTTCCTGGTACCATCGGATATTTCAGAAACTGTCCAATTATTCCCATTCACGCACACATTAACACATCCGCCGTTTGTCCAACACTCCTTCAACACTAGATGTGTAATAATACATAAACCGGAACGTCGACATACATCAAAAGGTTTTTTATTAATCCACAACAAAACAGTAATTCTCCTGCAAACATTTGTCATCGAGCTAAATGGATCGGGTGGTAAGGAACGATGACTTGGTGGATTTTGTGTCATCGTATCCTGACGGCTTGGGACATTGGACGTACTGTCAATAACTGGTTTGTCTTATCAGTAACTTAACAGACCACGTCACTTGCTGGAATATTGCCGTCTCAGTTGTAAACAACAAGACGTGTTTTCAGAAACAGTTTGCAACCTGACCTAATCAAAAACATTATTCTAAAATATTTCAAGAATTGAAAAACATACGGGAGCAACCTTCCAATGTTCATGTGCTTGATTCTGAAGCATGTGACCAGTCCAGTTCCTTGACCTCATTCTTCAGACCTTCCACACTGAGAATGGCAAGGAAGCAGATGACCTCTGGCTGACCTTGTATAGGTCATATACAACACGTCCCCTATACATATGCATACAAACGATATCATCACCAGGTAACCGAACTCATCCGTCTTTGGCAGGGCCACCACCAAAGCAAATTTCAACATGTCCATCATCCTGTTCAGCGAAGTTTGAACTCCATTGACGACGCCGCGTTCACTCTCTGCCACGTGTTCAAGAAACAGTTGAGTAATTGCCAGGTCAGCAATCCACAATCCTAAAACATCACAAGAGCGTGATTAGGACAACACATATCTTATGAAAATAACTCATAAAATTTTGACATGGTGTCGATGAATTTCTAATTTCTGACTAAGTCGATAGGATCGAATTTTTGATTATGTAGCTTTAAACAATATCCCAGAAATGTTCTTCACGTTCCAAGTGGGGAATCGAACCCGGATTTTCTGTCTTGTAATCTTTATGCTACTCCACCGCCCTTGGATTATCTAAGCACCGGCGGCAATTGTTTTCGAGCCGAGAGGCGTGATATAAGCTCAAAATATGTCTCCCACACCATGTACACAAAAATAAATAAGATCATGATACCAATTATATATCTCACCAAATCTAGCTGTGATAATCCCCGTTATCAGAAGAGTTATGGAAACGTAAGACTTCAAAACCAATGGGGTGGTCGTTGTCATAGCACCCGAGGATCCTGACACCGTCATGTTGGTCAACGAGGTACAGTTGTCGCCTGTCTCATAAGAAAATCCGGAAACATTTCTCGATGTTAAGTGTGTTGGCGATGTACAGTTGTCATCGGTCACATTGGAGGGGGAATCATGGTGTAAGAAGAAGATGGGGTCAAATGGACTGCCAGGTAACCAGACAGACACAACACACAAAAACAGACAAGCAATCTGTACTGTCATGGCAACCAGACCGGTTCTCTCTAGCCCAATGCGATGTCTCAAAACTGGATACACCAAAGTCCCAACAATCCCGATGGCTGCGCCCGATCCCATAGCAAGACCAAGCAGTCCTTCAGATATTCCTTGGGTAAACGCATAGCCACTGGTGACGCTATCAAACCCTAAGACCGTCAGGTACATCATCGCAAGTCCAAGGCCGGCGTTAGCAACGTTATACTGCATGAACGTCTTCCATCCAGTGTAGATGAGGATAAGGGGAGAGCACAAGGTTCGGATGCACCCACAGCTGGTTTCTTGCCTTGAGTTGTTCTTGGTTTCGTTGATCGTCACATGACCATTTTCCTTTGCTTCAGTGGGCGTAGCAGTTTTGGGGAATCCCGATTCTCTCAGTGCTATGAACTCGCTGTTCTTCCCAGCATATGTTTTGAATTTCTCTCCTGTCTTGAGCGCATCCAGTGATGGTTTGTGATCCGATTTGTCAGTTGCATCAACTAAAGAAGGAAAATGTAAAAACGACAGTTGTACCGATATTGTAATATCGCAATAGTATTTTTATACCATTGTAAAACACCCCTCGATGGTCATCCAAGATTCCAGCTATACCATGGTTGCTTATCACTGACTGAATCTAGACAAGACAAGCTATTTGCTTGAGTTATTTTCAAAAATGAAATAGTAATCATGGTACACGAGCATTCTGGGGATACCTTTCCACTGATGCTACTCTTACAGGGTCATTATTGGACAAATAGGGCAATGATTGAATGGTTTAATGATTCATTTTTACCTATTCGGCTTCAAATGGAGTTTCTAAAACTGAGAAACCGTCACTAAGGAAGACGCCCGGCGAAATATATTCGTACCTTTTTGCCAGTATTTCTCCTTCTGTAAAGCTGAAACTTGATTGTAGACTTTCCTTAGCAGGTAGTACTCCACGAACATGGACACTACGTTCCAGGCCGCCATGATTAAAGCCCCGTTCCTGACTTTGAAGAAGTACACAATCTCCCCAGAAGCAATAGGGGCGAGGATCTGCGCGGCCAGGTCCATCCTCCTCAGCGTAGCTGTCATATCTGGCGTCCAACAAGCGAGATAGTGAATGAATCGGGGTTTACAAAAATAATTTGTTCCAGAATAAATTGGAGGTTTTGTTCCTCTTGTTTTACCCCCCAAAATAACAATGTACAGTGAGCATTCAGCGTTCTGAATATTTATGTTTTGGATCCCAAATATTTGAACTGACAGAAGAAATTGTTTATCATATAGGATAATGTAAATCAATGTCGAGGTGATTGAGTGAGATGGGCCAGGGAGTCACGGGTAGGGTGCTCAGAGACCAAGGATCATAATGGGCATTAAGACCAACAGCGATGGTGTACAAATTCTGCATGGAATTTACAACTTGCAAAAGGCGATAAAGTCATGAAAATGTTTCGCATAATTTAGCGGATTATATAAAACCTACCGTGTGAACGATTTTTAGGCTATAAATAATGTTTGTATTAGTCCGGAAAACAACATCAGTTTTGTCACCTGCAAGTCTATTGTTGTCTTCTCCGCATATCTCTACAACCCAGTCCCTTTCAATGATGAGGATCCGAGCAGCACTGCTCATATCAGCAAATATAGCAAAGATGATGATGGAGGCATAGGACAGCATCAGCAACCAGCCGTTCCACAAAGAAACAATAGGGTCCCGAAACGAAAGATGTATACACAACGCGCATGCGCAAAGTGCCACAAACGTGTTCTGTAAGGCCAAGGAAACCTGCGCTGCTGCAAAAGAGGGCAATGGGCTGTTGTTTGTCTTTATGCTTCAGCGTTTTTCTTAACAAATCTGACTCTGTAAATATGTAAATTGGAACTGACAGTGCACACCATGGTTCAACATGAAGTGTGGCCAAAAGCAAGGATGCTTCGTTTCTCCACAATTTCTACATCAACAACTAAACGACGACAAATGAGAGTGCCTTGGGGTAAATATCACTTATAACGAGTCTGTCAGTATAAATACTGATGCGAATGACGTAATGATAATTACTGCAACAGAAAATGATATGATCCTTCTACATGAAAGATAATCCACTTTAGAACCAGTCACAGAAACATAGATGTGATTATTTGGCTGTACCTATTGCGGCGATGATCAGTTACAGGTTACAGGCATCCTCTTAACGGAACACTGAGACTATCAGTCGCCAAGTTGCCAATTTCACAGACACTCCAACGAATCCACATTAGCTTCCAATAACCAACAAAACAAAAACGAAAAAAGTCTCACATGCATACAAGGATGTATCACTAAACTATGATGAAATCATTGACAAATCTGCTTCCATCAATCAAACAAAGCTATCAGTACTTTTTCTACATTGTTAATCTATGAGAGACAATGGAACTGCCCGCTAATCTATGTCCAGTAGACGGTGGAGCTATACGTTAACTCTATCCAGTAGATAGTGGAGCTACCCGTTAACCTCTATCTACTTGATGGTGGACCTACCCGCTCATCTATGTCCTGTAGACGGTGGACCTACCCGCTAATCTATGTCCTGAAGACGTTGGGGCTGCCCGTTAACTCTATTCAGTAGACGGTGGGGCTACCCGTTAACCTCTATCCACTAGATGGTGGACCTACCAGTTTATCTATGTCCTGTAGACGGCGGAGCTACCCATTAACTCTATTCAGTAGACGGCGGAGCTACCCATTAACCTCTATCCACTAGATGGTGGACCTACCAGTTTATCTATGTCCTGTAGACGGCGGAGCTACCCGTTAAAATTCTATCCACTAGATGGTGGACCTACCAGTTTATCTATGTCCTGTAGACGGCGGAACTACCCGTTAACCTCTATCCACTAGATGGTGGACCTACCAGTTTATCTATGTCCTGTAGACGGCGGAGCTACCCATTAACCTCTATCCACTAGATGGTGGAGCTACCCGTTAATCTCTACCCACTAGATGGTGGGCCTACCAGTTTATCTATGTCCTGTAGACGGCGGAGCTACCCGTTAACCTCTATCCACTAGATGGTGGACCTACCAGTTTATCTATGTCCTGTAGACGGCGGAGCTACCCATTAACCTCTATCCACTAGATGGTGGACCTTCCCGTTAATCTCTACCCACTAGATGGTGGACCTACCCGTTGACCTCTATCCACTAGGTGGTGGACTTACCCGTTAATCTCTATCCACTAGATGGTGGACCTACCCGTTAACTCTATCCACTAGGTGGTGGACCTACCCGTTAATCTCTATCCACTAGATGGTGGACCTACCCGTTAATCTGTGAGTTCTGTCCACCCAGGTGCCTATGAGAGCCCCTGCCAGGAGAATGGTCATCCCTGTAGCCAGGCCATTGACTGCAGTGAGGAGAAGCGACGTCGGTGACAGCTCTATGAGGAACAGCCCGACGCCAAAACACCACATCTGATCCCCCTACAATAATGATTAAATGTTAGACACTGTCGAAATGCGGTCTGTGAATATTCAAGTCCGGACAAGACCACCCGAGCGACCACCCGATCCCGTTAATCGCCTCTTACGACACACATAGTCGCCTCTTACGAAAAGAATTGGTTGCCGAAGACCAATCCTAACCCGGATCTTTACCGTGTATAGGATTAAACGTTATATTGTACAACACTCATGTTTGTTGAATAGATTTTTCTGTAAATGTATTAGGAGATAAGTTTAGATAATGTGTTTTCAGGTTTGAGTATTTGAACGCCGAAAATTTCAAAAGGCCTGCATACTTTACCAAGGAGGAAAACTTTAGAAAGCGTCATTTAAGTAACCAAATGTGTTCGCGTATGAATAAAAATTAAGCTGTGTCTTAACACTCGCATTTTAAAAACTTATTACAACACACAATTTCTAAAAATTCTGATTGTAGATATTTTCAGGAAGCACTTTCCAGTAAATGAACTAGATCAAGTCTCTTTTCCAAGTTGCTGTTCTGAGGAACATAAGGAAATATAAGGAAAGAGTGTAACAAAAAGGAGAAATAATCATCTTGGGTCATGGAATGTCTCATGAAGGTAGAAAAAGTGGTCCTTTTTATTTATGACATAAATATATAAAAATAGCATTGCAAGTGCTAGAGGTGAGGTGAAGTAGGGTTTAGCCTCGCGTTCAAGATGCTTGTACATATATATCAACGTGCATTGCAGGTGTGAGCATGTCTCTTTATGGAATTTTACATAATGATTTCAAGTTGGCCAAAGAGGCAATACTTTCAACCGATCAGATTGTGGAACACACCCATTCGTGTTACATTGCTATCTTGTTATTGTAACTTACCCATGTTGACAGGAAGTGGCTGCAGTACACCCGGAAGTTGATGCCCGTCGCAGTATTCTGTTTTTGGCCTTGAATGACAACAGACAACTTTTTTTCATTTTTAATCATCCATACATGCAGTCAATATAAATTGTAAGACTCAAGGAAGAATTATTATCTAATACCACGTGCAAGTCTTCAGTGCTAATTTAACTTGTGTTACCACCAAGATACCTGGCTATCTATTGCTGCTGCTGCTGCTACTACTGCTACTACTACCACTACTACTACCACATCTCCACTACTGCTACGTTCACTACTACTACCACCATCACCATAATACCCGATTATCTACTACTACTGCTACTACTACCACAACGTTCACTACTACTGCAAGTACTACTACTACAACCACCATCATAATACCTGATTATCTACCACTACTAATAACCTAATCCACTACTGCTACGTTAACGACAACTACTACTACTACTCGTACTACTACTACTTCTACTACTACTACCACTACTACTACTACTACTACTACTACTACTACTACGAACACCACCATAATACTTCATTATCTACCACCACTACTAGACCGCCCCCGTGGTCTCGTGGTAGAGCGTCCGCCCGGAGAGCGGAAGGTCCGGGGTTCGATCCCCGACCGCGTCATACCAAAAGAGGTTAAAAGATGGTACTTGTTATATTATTACCCTGTCTGGCGCTCGGCATCAAGGGGCTAAAACTGGTCGGCTCGGAGACAGTATACTGTGTCTGAGTGGGGTATTCATGTTAGACTGTGGCATGGTATCTCAATGAGCTAGCACTATAAATCGGCATCAGTCCGCACTAGTACAAGCAGCCACACAAACACACACACGTACATGCACGTCGCTATATAAGTGCAATAATCTTGGACGCGACGTTAAACCCCATTTCACCTCACCTCACCACCACTACTACTGCTACTACTACACCTCCAATACTGCTACGTTCACTATAACTACTTCTACCACAACGACCACTACTACTATTACCGCTACTACTACTACCACTACTACTACTACTTCTACGACCACCACCATAATACCTGATTATCTACCACCACTATCAGTACTACTTCCGCACCTCCACTACTGCTACGTTCACAACTGCTAATACCACCACCACTACCTCTGCTACTGCCACCACCACCACCACAATACCTACCACACCTCCACTACTGCTACGTTCACTACTACTAATACCACCACCACTACTACTGCTACTGCCACCACCACCACCGCAATACCTACCACACCTCCACTACTGCTACGTTCACTACTACTAATACCACCACCACTACCTCTGCTACTGCCACCACCACCACCACAATACCTACCACACCTCCACTACTGCTACGTTCACTACTACTAATACCACCACCACTACTACTGTTACTGCCACCACCACCACAATACCTACCACATATCCACTACTGCTACGTTCACTACTACTACTACTACAACAACTACAACTACTACAACTACTACTACTACTACTACTACTACTACAACTACAACTGCAATTACTGATAATGATGAGGGACCAACTATTTGATATTCTGGGATGTGGCTGGTTTTTTATTTGGGATTTATTATTCAGGACTATGAGCCTGGTTCTTTTTTTAAAAAGACACTTGCAACAATGTCATTTTTGTGGCAGGCATTTTTTTACAGTATCTGATGGAAAATTATATTTTTCAAGAATTTTCGGGGACAATATATTTTTTCGATAAAATCCACACACACACCCCGCAGATCATTAAATGAATGGTCCCTAAGAAGAAAATGAAGTCGCTACGAATACGGCTACTAATAATTTCACTTCTACCTCTACTACTTCTACCACCACCACCACCAACAACAACAACAACAACAACTACTACAACAACACTACTCCAACTGCATGCATGTCGAGTATGTACTGATGAAATTGAAATTAGGTAACTGAGAGCACCACTATGATGGGAATTGACTAAAATGAAGTCCATAACTGTGTTAATAATGTGTAAATACTTTATGCAGAAGGAGCGTGTGTGTGTGCCTACTCACCTGTAATAAGTCCGCTATCTTCTGATAATTTGTACCATCCATTTTCACCATTTTTAGAAATCATAATAAATTCTCAACACTCACGAATGTACAGTTCAGCTGAAAAAGTTGATTGCTGCTAATACTAGCCTGACATATCGCGAACAACGTTTTGAGTATTCAATTACCAATGGTTTGATATATTTGCATTGCGCTTATTCCAGTGTGTACCAAAACCACGGAAGTTTATCAAGCCGAAACTAACAGCAAAGCACAAAACTAAATACACATTGTGAATTGTTTGAAGTTTTGCATTTCACACATGTGTAGTTAATATATGTTATCTTTATAAACGTGTATGTTTGTTTGTCATTAATCACGTGAATTGATCAGCTGCTTCATGAACAGTCAAATTAAATTATTCATGTGATGCTTGGTGAGACTCAGTATTACAGCTGTCATACTATGTTTACTTTATTCCTTTTGTTTTGTTCATTGTTTTTTAAGGTTTATTGTGAGTTGTAATTCAACTGGGCTGAAGAATTTAAACGACCTAACATTGTATAAACTCTGTCTTCCATTTTGTGAATAATTTTACATGTAAGATGAAATATCGGGATACATACCCTATACTATAAGTTTGGTTTGTGCATGTTTTTGTCTCTTTGTTTGTTGTTTAACGCCGCACTCAGCAATATTACAACTTTATGACGACAGTCTATGAATAAACGAACCTGGACCATACCATCAAGTGGTTGACATCATGAGCATCGATCTACACAATTTGGATACGATCACATGCATCAATCAAGTCAGCGACTTAATAATACTGAATTCGGGTGTCCTTCACCTGCACCTCCAAACTGCAGCGTTCACTTTTGATTCTCTGAACACCCTGTCTTACGCGCTCATATTATCGGGAGCACGGGTAGCACGGTGATTCCTTTCGCTTAGAATACGCCCCGATTATGATCCGTAAGTATATCTATATCACACTCGTTCATATGGGCTACCAAAACTTGGGGCGTTCATGTCGCTTTACTTTGACACGCCGTGATGACGCAAATCCCGTCAAAGTCAGATCTTTTACTCAGATGCGAGACCTTTGACACTTTGACAGTCCCCATCTCAATGAAGGATACGTGGGCTCTTGAGCCAATCTGATTGTGGGTTCGAATCCAGGTTCGCCCCGATTATGTTTCTAGGTTTGTCAGCACCATTCCCGTACTCGTGGGTTTCTCGTCACCAAAGTAATGTGTGCTTTCAAAGTGTCATGAAATGGGGAAGAGTAGTCCTTCCTTTGAGATTTAAAAAAAACACTAGATAAAGAGAACAATCTTGAACGCAACGTTGAACCTATTTTCACCTCATCTTTCACACAACTCCCCACTGCCATTTGTGACGCCTAAGCGTATTTTCACTTTTTAATACAGGCCATGTAATTTATTAACACCTAGACACAAAACATGATTTCCCTATTTTTTTATGGTCAATTTATTTGCTTCAACACAGCAAAAAAAATGAATAAATTCAGTTTAGCTAATGTTCTATTACCATTCCACATTTATCTTCGAATTCTTCCAACGCTATCCTTTTTGACTTGGCACGTGGATCCCGTTTATTATTTTATATTTTTTTGTGTTCTAATGATGATATGTTCATAGTGATAATACAAATGATTTTCCATGAAATCAAACAAAACGAATGTTTCGCTACAATTACTCATATTTGTGTGACCATGAGTTTAAATTTATAGTTTTCTGCCTTGGTCACTGAAAACCACCCTTTCTTTCTTTCCATGACCACATAGCTAATTCCTTCGAAACGGCAGTGTCAATAATATCGCATCAACTTAAAGGAGAATATAAATGTTGGTGCATTTCTAACAGTAGAAGATGTGTCTGGCCACCTCGCTCTGTTAACCGCCGGATCATACGCCAACACAGGCCCGCAGTTGGCGTCATACCACCACCCTGCCCCGTAGCGCGCCGCACACCCATACGGATCCTTGTCGAACGTGCTGAAGGGGAGACCAACAAGGCTCCCTGACCCAATAGAAGGAATGGCGGCAAACCCGTCAGCATAGTTGCTCAGGTCTTCTCGAAAGGTACTATAATTGAAAGAGTAGCCTTCAGCTTCGCTACTGACGTTAAAGTCATCATAGACAACCTCTAAGCCGGTGAAAAGGTTCAGTTTGATCGTCAGCCTGTACTCCCCTTGTCTTGTCAGGGCGTGCATTGTCTCGAGCCCCATCCACGAGCCGCCACCAACCAGAAAGCCAACTTTGTATTGCTCATATGTTTTGTTTAGATCACCTGGTGCTATTTGTCCATGGAAATATCCAACAAGGCTGTTTTGCTGTTGCTGACAGATAACAAGAACAGCTGTGTGGTAGTTCTTTGGTTGAATTGTCATGGCGGTAGTCTGGGAATTTTCTAATTCTATACAATCTGAAAAGAAAAAAACCTGTTAGAAATAATACATGATAAATACTGTATGGCGATTCGTTCGTGTTGTCATCATTCTTTGATCTTGTGGTCCAAGCATTAAATGGATCTCAGCCTTAGGTTTACCTGGCAACCCTTCCAGATTTGATTGAAGTCACTCAAAAACAACTTGCTTGTGAATAAACCCAAATAGTTTTGTGCATATCTGCAGAGAATGATTATCCTAACTCTATACAGACATTGTCTAAGCTTCGTAAAGGTTACAAATTGCAACATCAAGATCCAGCCGGAAAATAGTCGCCTAGCCTTCCTGTAAACGGATCAAGGTGAATCAATAAATTTCCTGCTTTGATATCCTGGAAGATAGTGAGTGAGTATGGTTTCACGCCGATTTTAGCAATATTCCAGCAATGTCACGGCGGGGGAACCAGAAATGGGCTTCACCCATTGTACCCGCGTGGAGAATCGAGCCCGGGTCTTCGGCGTGACGAGCGAACGCTTTAACCACATATCAAGCAGTTGAAGGTAAGTTTGTGAAGCATTTGATGCCAGCGGTCGATACATTAATTTCCACATTTACTGCACTCTATGACTGAATAGACAAATAAATGGCATATTATATACTTTGAATAAAATTAGCTCGAACTGCAAATTTCCTACAGCCTAATCATCCTTGAAAATGAACATAAAACAAATCGAAACTGTTCGTGAAATTATGTATCTATTATTAATGTCAATATCACAAGACAATGAAATCAATCATTATGTTTATCGTCACAATGTTATATTCACTCGGTCACTGGGCTTCTGTTGGTTTTCTCAGTAGCCGAAGAAAGATGACTCATCTGTTTAAATCCATCAAATCAAAAAAGTAATATCAAAATCTGATATTTTTGTACTGACAAAGTTTTTTTTCGCTCTGGAAATAAATAAAAATAACTGAAACAAAAAATAACTGAAACACCATTTTTCAGACGAACTACTCTGATTTAAAGTTATAGACGTTCCATAACTATTGTGTAACAAAGAACAATTTACCATACAGTAATCAAAGATCGACTTACCGTAGCGATATCTCTGACAGAAAGTATCATACCAGAGGGTAGTGCAGGTACAGCTGTACCCATCAGGATTCAGAGTGCCACCATTTTCACACGGGTTCACCTTTTTAAAAATATATTAAATGTAAACATCATCAAGAACAATATCCGTAAAACATAGCATGTGATGTCGAGCAGATACTCCGCCCATTGTGTATTTGTTGTTTCATTGTTTATATGTTGTGTATTAATTGTTCTGGAATGTGTTGTTGTCCCCCCCCTACAAGAGCTTGAAACGCCACAACTAAAAGAAGAATAGAAATGTTGGTGACAGTATTTCAGTGGTATTTCTAACATCGGTAGATCTAGAGGTGCCACCTTTCTTGTTTAAATGTCGTGGGTAATATGGTTTTCTATTTAATGGCATCACAGAACCAAATGCCGGATTGACACGAACATAGAACGAGTAGTCTGTGTACATGCAATGCCAGGATTTGCACAACAAAGCATATATGAACCAAGTTTCTGCTATTCTTTCAAATTTCGCTGATATTACGATTTTCTAGTTTACTGGCACCAAAAGACGGATAGTAAACGTTTGAAACAAACGCAAAAAGAGTAGGTCATGCATGCACTGATCGGATTTGCACATGTAGACAGGTATGAACCAGTTTTCGTCGTGTATTTCAAATGTCAATGGCGTTATGATTCTCTATTTTACTGGAATGTAATTATCAGTTGTTGAAAAGAGTTGACAAACAGCACTGACAAAATTATGATCATTCTTCATACCATGCTATGACGAGGAGGTATAATATACTTCTTAACTTTAATTTCCATCATATCACACAATTTAATGTTATTATATATATGCAGACCTGAAAATATATCGCAAAATTGTGTAATATAAACGGTCGCCTTTATAAGGATGGACTGTTGTAAAGTATAAATCTAATGTTAACACTCACGATTTTATAAGACGAACACTTTTCATTGACTTGTAAAACATCACAGTCTCCAAAAGGCCAATCAGAACCCAGAGAACATAAATTGGTACCATCCTCTCCCTGGCAAATATGTCCTGATTTGCATTCAGAATGTTCCAGGCACTTGGCTCCACACTGAATTAGGCTGGTGACAGGGACGTCGAGCAACGTGGTGTTCACTGACTCTCTCTGAGAACACGCGAAGTATTTCTGCTGGGTAATCTGTTGACCCCTCACTAGGACCAGCAGGGACAATTGGAACAACAGGACGAGCAACATCACAACTGTAGGCCAATCAATGTGAATATCTGGAAAGAAGTCTAGTATCTCCACATTTCTCCACTTTTGCCACCGTTGCCTTTAACATGTTTCTGCACGGAAATGTGCTGCAAATATATTTTAAAAAATGATGACTCATTATTTAGATAGAATGAGGTCGCAGATATATTTCAGTAACAAATGGTCACAATTCAATCTAATTACATAAATGAGAACTATATCTCTCCTCTGGTCACCCTAATGAGATACAGCTAAGTAAAGAGAGTATTCAATCTGAGAGAAATCCGGTCTTCATAGGACATCCATTCTCTGTGCATCCGTCAATACCTCACTTTAAGGATTTACCATTCCCTACAGCCACAAACAAGGCGCAGCAGCCTTGCCAGCTCAGACAAAACCTTCTTTGATTTGTTTCGTGTCCTCATGACCTTAAGAAGAAAGGAAGTCGCTTGTCGAAAAGAATGTTTCTATTCTGTATCAAAGGTTTTTTCAGGGGTTTTCAATAGACAATCCATCAAGAAACCTTTACAATCAGCCGTGCAGAATATAAGGGGAGAGGTTATGATCTCCAGTCGAAGAACATAATGGGAAGAACCGGATCTCGGCTAAGTGTCATGTTTTTAGTAATAAGTTGGACATAAAGTACGTTCTATCAGGTAATTGTTTATTTGCGAATTCTTAATGGATAATCAATTCAATCATTTTTTTAAATTTCCATGGGAAACGTACCTGTGCAATAAGTGTACACGTTCTTTATTTTTCCTCTTATGCGCAGCCTTATCTCGTCTTTTCCATTTTGTCACCAAAACGAAATGTATTGAAAGATGCACCCTCAATTACCCAGGGTACCATTCCTCCATTCCTTTATGCTTGCGGGTTTGCTTGTTTGTTGTTTAACGCCGCACTCAGCAATATCCGAGCTATATGACGGCCGTCTGTAAATAATCAAGTCTGGACCAGACAATCCAGTGATTGATATCATGACCATCGATCTACACAATTAGGATACGATGACATGCATCAACCAAGTCAGCGAGCCTGATCACTCGAACCCGATAGTCGCCTCTTTGGTTAATGAAGACCTATTCTCTTCCGGGATCTTCACGGGTTCCATTCCTTTATAATAAATATGTATACCATAATGGATTTGACATATTATAATACGCTGGATATTCGAGTATTTTAATGATGATTTAGACAAGACACCGCTTTAAAACAAAATCATCTTTGTATTCGAAATAATTGATATTTGTGGATGTAACATAATCCGAAGCTTATTGCTCGATTTTAGTCAAAGAAAGACGAAACGGCAGAATAGGTTCAGGAAAGGAAACATAACTCTTCCCAGAAAATGCTGACAATCTTGACATTCACAGGAAATTGGGCCCACTCAGCTTATTTTGCTGGCAATATAATTCCCCGGTTTCCAATAGAGTAGTTATATTGCATAGATTCAGTGAAACCGTGCAACGACACACCCTACAGCATGTGCAGTTCCTATAACATGAAGGCCGTTTTTTAACACACTGCCAGATTATTTCAAAGATGAATATACTGTTTGCAATGTAGAACTACGTTATATAGAGAATCTCACCCAAGTGTCTTTTGATATCAAATATATCAACACGAGTTGATAAAAGTGGAAAAATTCCGAGGCTTGCCGAGGATTTTTGCCACTTTTATCAACGAGTGTTGATATATTTGATATCAAAAGACACGAGGGTGAGATTTTATTTATCATCCAACATCATTTTTTCAACCTTTCAATTTGTAGACAGTAATTAGCAGTGTCTTCAGTGTAAAAAGTACTGCAACAGCTTCGGTAGCAGAGCCATTAGTGATGTAATTTGATTGTGACGTCATGGTAACCAGTGACGTCACAATGGTCTGCAAAGCATTGTGATGTAATTTCATTGATCTCATCCAAGCGATATCTCCTGTGGGAGCCAGTTTTGGATGATAAATGTAGATTTAACACCGTAAAATTGAATATGGAACCGAACGATCAGAAATTTAGTACGCACTTCATTTTTGCAAAAGCAAACGGAAATATTTTTTAGGGAATTTCAAAAATGGTTACTGTCAGCATCATTGCTTTACCTGGAATGTTTCTGGGGATAGAAAAAACATAATACAATTCTAAACGTCTAAATGAAATAGAGAAAGAGAATTCAATGAAACGATAACTCGTTCGTTTTTCAAAAAGTAAAACCAATTAATTCAACCTACACACTCACCTTAATATTTGATGAATTTGTAAAACCACGAGGCTAAGCCAAACGTGATTAAAGCTCACTTTCGCTTATGATGAAGTGTCACAGACATAGTGGCGTTTTTTCTCACATGCCAAAAGGTCCTGAGGTTGTGGCGTGAATGTCTCCCATACAAACAACAAGCCCTGAAGTTGTAGCGTGACTGGCCCACAACAGCAGAAGTCCCTAAGTGGATGCCATCGATTTCGCATAATGTGTTCATTTACTTCACAGGAGCAAAAAACATTATTTGTTTCTTATTATTAATAATCGATTTAATTTCATAGTTGGAAGTAAACACGTACGCGTACAAACACTTGCTTCATACTTAGGCTATTATAAAGTAGAGGTTTAATTACTAAAATACTACTTATAAAGTTGCAATCACGGTGGTCACTGCGAACGTATTATTCTTTGGTAGTGTAAACAAAATGTTCCGAAATGCTTCGTTTCCGTCTTTGAATCATGCGCATTAGGTAAGCAAAGATGTTTTACTGATATCTTTGCTATTCCATAAACAGTACATGGCATGGGGAAAAGACTGAGGTATTTCAGACCTTTTGTATTCTCTGAAATTTGGGAAAGAAATATGATGACAAAGAATACATCAATGAAGATATTTGCTGTACTGTATTCAATATTTATTTCCCTTCCCGAGAATTAATATGTAGGTGCATTACATACGTTTTACAGGAATCATCTCTGTATCCCTCATCTCACTTGTAGGGAACATAAATATGATCTTCGGATCCGTACGGTTACCCAGTATACAACTAGGTCATTGCCATTTCATTATGCCGACTTGCAACTCACTCTGTGAAGTAACTGAAAAATTATTGAAAGCTTACTCACTTGATGTTGGTCGGTACATGCTTTGGATATTGCTTCCACTGGTTCTAGTAGATAGGTAAATAACTAATTTGATGGTGTGTATCCATACGCAGTGCCAATTATCACTTCACATAAAGGGCCAAGTGACAAGTATCCAGCATGTCCCTATGGCACCCCATCACCTAACGTCATACATCCGAAGTCTCTTCGTCTTCACTTCATGCATTGATTTGAATAATGAAGTGCTATTTATTTTACTTTTAAAACGCAACTATCTCATCTCACAAGCATTATGCTGTTAATGAAACGTTGCAAAACGCAACGACAAGCACTAAGACGTCGTGTCGCCACTGAAATGATGCGTAGAGGCACTGGTTCGCGTAATGTTGCCAACGTTTGGTACTCTGGTACAATGTTGCAACGTTACGTAATTAATGGCAGAGTCCAGAAACAACATGGCGGAGGTCATACAAGGTCGACAACATTGGCTCATGACCTGACCACCATGCTCAATCAGAGAGACCGACCCAGATCATCGACAGGAGGGGACGGATTATACCGTGCATGCCAGTTGTGGCGTCGGCTACGGCCAAAGAGTTCTGTCACATGATTACCACATTTTAACCTGCAACAGAAAACCTGGTTGCTATCGTCAGAACTTCCCCCCTGAATTTTGTCTTTCGTTGTCCCACTGAACTGCCATCCAAGGAAAATGCGTTTTTTTGTGGACACTAGGCAAACAGCAACGCAACAAAGTAATGACTCCCACTAATATATTATCAATGCACTTGATATCATAAGAGCTCATTGCTGTCACAAAATTTTTTTTTTATCTCGTCCACGGTCACGGGTGGGCAGCCTAGTGTGTTACCCGCCACGCCATAGGCACCTCTGTGATTCCCAAATGGGTCAGTGTTTGAACACCTTGGAGGTTTTGTGGGATGGGACTAGAGCATTAGCTATATGATGACGCCTTGTGGCTGATAACATGAATACGTTCACAGTGTGTTATTTTGATTTACCAAACACCCTATCTTTTCCTATTCGAACGGAATTTCATCCAAATCGTTCAGTTATAGGAACGTGTTGCAGAACGTAGACTTGTCAGCTCACGATGTCAATACCACTAAAAGTGGCTGCCAAGAATCATCATACTGCAACCAAGCTGTTGGTCATATAATCACAGGTGACTTGTCTACTGTTGACAATAATTACTCAGAAATATCCTGAGCAGACTCCGATAAATCACACCTTTATAATCATAATGGATGCTGCCGAAGTATATGCCAAAAAATGGGCCAAAAGAGAAGAGGAACCTAACGAATGTCTTCTTTCGGAGTGGGCTAAATTCGTACGTGATGTTGTGATTGGTAGAATTCACAAACTGAAAAAGAAGAATCAGAATTGGAATAACCTCATTCTATCCAAGCCAGCTTTCATCCAAAGTCTGAATGCCCTACATGAATAGGTTGTAGTTGTTCCAAATGACAAGGCCTAAAATAGCATAACCATTACATGTAATCACCACTACATTAATAGTTTGATCAAAGAACTTGGTATAAGTGACATATCAAATAATGCCACATATAAGGTTGAGGAAGAAATCTGACAAAGCCATGCATCAGTACTATCAACGTTTGGCTTAAAAGTATTTGAGACAAGTGGAATTAATACCATGTGGATTCTCAAAAACGCTTGACATTTTATAATCTCAGAAAAGAACCAAGTTCGCGTCTTTTTCACCATTTGCTTTTTCAACTTTGTACATCACTATTCCACATGGCAAACAAAGGAAAACTTCAATCCGTTCCAAGGAACCTTTGTTACAAAACCTGGTGACGATAGATACAGTTTCATATCTATCTTCAGACGTTTACTATCTGAAGTTTACTGTGAAAAAAATATGTGAAGTACTAGACCGCCTCATTGATAACATCAATGGACAATTTTGCGGTAAGACATTTAGGCAAGAAGGAGTCACCATAGGCAAAGTACTCTCCATTCTTGCTGCTCTGTTTCTGCATATGAATCGGAATTTCTGCTCGAATTGGCAAAGTCAAAACACATGACTTTTGCCAAGAAGTTTAAATCAAGCTTCAGGTGTATCGATGGAACGTGGAACACAACTCATTGACAGTACAGAATGTGGATACATGTATTTCAGCTGAATGCTGTTAGGACTGAAGCTTCATGCTGGCAGGCACAAAAGTATGAATCCTTAACTACAGAACTGCTGTCAGATATTGTATTGTTCTCGTCACCAAGCATACCAAGCATATTGTTTCTCCCTGTAAACAAAACATTGATCGAAACTTGATTGCAATCAAGGTGTCATTTTTAACGCTTTATTTTTTCTTTTATAATCATGATCCATACACCATTCAAAGATCCAATAAAGCTGGATTAATTTCCGGACCAAACCAATTATGTCTCATCACCCTGAAAATAGTGTACATATGACGAGGAATCACAGTGCTTAAAGCGTTGTTTATGGTGCCGTAGACTCGCATTCGATTTCCCACCCGGACACAATGTGTGAGGCCCACTCCTGGACATTACTGGACAATTGCAAACATAAGAAACCCTCTAGTTTGTAATATTAAGAAAATGTTGTTTTTTTATGAAAACGTTGGGTTGGTGCTTCAAATAGTTGTGTTTCAACAAAATATGGCCTTATCTACCTGCTTCTCACAGTCGCGGTTCAATGTATCCTAACCAAAGTTACAAATATGTCATGAAATAATGTTTGTGAAAGAATTCTCTAATTAATAATTATTGTATAATATACCGTCATAGCTGATATCTTCTAACTCTGAATCTATTGAATAAGAAATACAATATAATGTCTGATAACTTTGTGTAAAAATTGTTCAACGTCCTGTAGATATTCAGGTAGTCTGGTGTTCCGACATCCTGTGTATAGAAAGGATGACCGCGAGCAGGATGTGCCGCTCAGAGGGAACGCCTTAGGATGAAATCACCCGAAGTATGGAGGAAACATCGTTAAGTTTGTGATGTCGAGAAGGTATTTCGTTCATGGGGTCTTTGTTGTTTCATTGTTATTATTTTGTGCATTCAATGTTCTGGAACAGTTATAACGATGTTGTATTTCTTTCCCCAAACAAGTACTAATTCCACAGTCAATAATATCGCATCAACTTAAAGGAGAATATAAATGTTGGTGCATTTCTGACAGCAGTAGATGTGTCTGGCCACCTCGCGCTTTTAACTGCCGGATCATACGCCAACACAGGTCCGCAGTTGGCGTCATACCACCACCCTGCCCCGTAGCGCGCCGCACACCCATACGGATCCTTGTCGAAAGTGCTGAAGGGGAGGCCGACAAGGCTCCCTGACCCAATAGAAGGAATGGCGGCAAACCCGTCAGCATAGTTGCTCAGGTCTTCTCGAAAGGTACTATAATTGAAAGAGTAGCCTTCAGCCTCGCTACTGACGTTAAAGTCATCATAGACAACCTCTAAGCCGGTGAAAAAGTTCAGTTTGATCGTCAGCCTGTACTCCCCTTGTCTTGTCAGGGCGTGCATTGTCTCGAGCCCCATCCACGAGCTTACACCAACCACAAAGTTGACTTTGTATTGCTCATATGTTTTGTTTAGATCACCTGGTGCTATTTGTCCAGGGAAATATCCAACAAGGGTGTTTTGCTGTTGCTGACAGACGACAAGAAGAGGTGTGTGGTAGTTCTTTGGTTGAATTTCTATGGCGTTAGACCCAGGATTTCCTAATTCTGTACAATCTGAAAAGAGAATACTCTTATAGATAAAGATTATAAATACTTTGTTGGAATTTATTCGTGTTGTCATCATGTGGTCCAAGAATTAAAGGGACGTTAGCCTTGGGTTAACTGGCAATCCTATTGAATTTCATAGAAGTCATTCAAAAGCATCTTTGTTTGTGTATTAACTTAAATATTGTTGTGTATATCTGTTTTGCCGAGAATAATTTTGCTAATTACATACTGACAATAGTCACTAAGTACAACATTCTCGCACAGAGAAGTTGAGCTTAGGCTCCATGCAAACGAATGACCGTGAATCAAAAGACCGTTAGTTTCCTGCTTCTGATTTTATGGACGTTAGATCACATGTCAAGCGGCTGAACTTAGGTTTGTGCAAATAATATTAGTCACTCGAACTCCTATCACCCATCATGGAATTCTAAGTCAACGTGATTTTGTTTCATAAGTTACCCCAAGGTTTCTAAAGATCAAGTTTTGATGATGTGAAAAAATCAGCCCAACAAATAAAAATTGAAATACCCCGGTCTTTGTCTTGGTGTTAAAGTAATCACTCTGTTAATTAGTTTTTATAGTTCACAGGGGGGCACTTTAGGTGAGAGGTCGTCACTTGCATTAATTTGCTGATGCAATAACTTCATTATCTACAGCATTCTATGAGTTATTAGAGTAATTATTACTTTGAATGATTTGAATAAAATTAGCTTGAACTGCAATTTCCCCACAGACCGTTCACCGTTTCAAATGAAACATAAAACAAATCAACACTGATCGTGAAATGATGTATCTATTTCTAATGTCAATCTTATAAGACAATGAAAATCAATGTTGATCATCAAAATGATACAGTCACTCGGTCACTTGGCGTTTGTTCATTCTTGTCTCTGTAGGCCATGGTTTGGGCAAACATAAATGACTCACTTGTTTAAATCCGGACAATCATTGTTATATAAAGGTATATCAAAAAGCGGATACTTTTATCCACAAGTTATTGTTAAGTTATTGACCGACCTGGAAAACAGATCGTTCAAACTGCATATTTCCAACAAATCCCATGCTGATGACAGTATTTGCATGGTCGTATATGACTCTGATGTAAAGTTATATACATGGTAGATTTGCCAAACAGTAATCACAGATCGACTTACCGTAGCGGTATCTCTGACAGAATGTATCACACCGGTATGCAGCGCAGGCGCAGCTGTACCCGTCAGGATTCAGAGTGCCACCATTTTCACACGGGTTCACCTTTTTAAAAATATTTTTTAATGTAAACATCATCAAGAACAATATCCGTAAAACATAACATGTGATGTCGAGCAGATATTCTGCCCATTGTGCCACCATTTTCACAGGGGTTCGCCTTTTACGAAATATCAAATGTACACGTACTTCATCAAGTGCAATATCCACAAAATGATATAAACATTGATTAAATATCGCAGAGAATATCATGGTTCTCCATTTACAGGACCAATGGTACAAAAAGCAGAATAAAATCATGAAATGACCGCATCTGCACAGCATTACAGATATGAACCAAGTTTTATCTATTATTTCAAATTTGTGTTGATGCTGTGATTCTATAGTACCAACAGCCGGATTATACACGCACCACATTGAAACTAACGCAAATAAGGTAGGATAAACACGCCCTGACGATAAAGAGATATGGGTAATTCTCAAAAAATGTCAGAATTTCAACTAAGCAAAAAACATCAAAATTGTCTTTTGTAAAATACCTTTTTCATTGACTCAGTACACAAAGTAACTTCTGAATAACAATGTTAAGCAAAATGACACCTTAATAATCAATGATGTCATAATTATGATAATTAATTAACACTGAATAGGAAAAATATGTCTGTCCTGTTACCATGTTAACAATTATATTTTCTGTAACAATATTTTTCAAAGTTCAACACAAATCATGTCAGTTCTTGTTTTTAAATGTATTCTTATATATTTCAATGAGTACAATTAAAAAGAGATTGGATACATTATTTTATGGACAGATTTGTCCAGCATTTGAGTCAAATGAAAACATTTGAATTCATTCAAATCCAATATGACAAACATACCCTGATTATTGCATCATTTATTTGACACATATTCTTCATTATATGATATATGTTTGAATTCAAATATGTTCTTCTGAAAAATTAAAAAAAATAATCAGTATATTTCTATTTTAAGTGCTGGTAACAGGACAGACAACGTAGTAACAGGACTGACATTTGAAAGTAACAGGACGGACAATCGGCTTTGATTGCAGATAACTATAACGTTCAGGAGTTTCAAGATTTTGAAATATCTGACAAATACAAAAAAAGTATGTGCAATTGATTACACCTGAACATATAAGGTGTAATTAACTGAATATTCTTGTATGTAATCTGAACTATAGAAACCGGTCGGTAACAGGACGGACAATTGAAAGAAACAGGACGGACAAACTTATGTTTGCAGTCAACTATCCTGTATCCAACTACTCTGACAAATAAGAAAATGTTCTGCTTATTTAATAGTATCTGATCATATGGATGTTATTAACTGAATGTTCTTCTATGTAATCTGAATGTAGGATACTGGTAGGTAACAGCACAGACGAAAGTAACGCCAAAGACAATAACTTTTGCATTTTGGGTTAATCCCGATATTACAAAGAATTTAAATTGATTTAAACTTACACTAAATAGTCATATGACAGTTTTTGTCATGAAGCAACAACATAATAACCAATTTTATCCATGTCAAAAATCAACATAATCTGGAGAAAAAAACTTGTCAGAAGATTTCCTGTTGAAGCCGAATTCTTTTGCAATTGTATTCGCAAATACTGAAATAAACGGTCTGAATGGGTGAATAATAATTTCCTTAAAAGTACAATTCACTTGTATCTATGATTATTTGATTAGTGCCAGAATTAAAGGATGCCTTTCATTCACCCACAAACCACAGGCTGTTTATTGTTTCTTGTTTTATCTTATCTGTAATAGCTTCCCGGTAAAAAATTTCAACACTGAAGTGGGAAGCAGTGCCTTCAATCTTCTTTCGTTCAGGAATGATGGTAATAATGTCCTCGTGCTTGTATCAGCATTTGTCCAGCAGAAGTCTTGGCCAGAAAAATCATTTTTGATCCCATTTTTTGCCAGGCTTGTGCATGCATTCCACATATATATCATAGGTAGAAACATCTGTGTATCCAGGATATGGAAAACCATCATATAACACAACAACACATTTTCCAAGACACTCTTCTGTATCATCTGGAACGGATAGTAAAATGTCACTCTCACTTTTCTCAACCTCACCCCTCTCCACCACACCACCTGTCTTCTCCACACTTTTCTCAACCTCACCCTTCTCCACCACACCACCTGTCTTCTCCACACTTTTCTCAACCTCACCCTTCTCCACCACACCGCCTGTCTTCTCCACACTTTTCTCAACCTCACCCTTTTCCACCACACCACCTGTCTTCTCCACACCTTTCTCAACCTCACCCTTCTCCACCACACCACCTGTCTTCTCCACACTTTTCTCAACCTCACCCTTCTCCACCACACCACCTGTCTTCTCCACACTTTTCTCAACCTCACCCTTCTTCAAAAGGAATTATTTGAGTTATTATGGTAATTATATTATTGATTGGTTAAACAAGGAAAGACAGTTTAAGATGATGATAAGTCTGTGCTGTTACCACCAGTGTCTGTCCTGTTACATGTTTGAAGGTAACAGCACAGACAGTAACAGCATAGACAAATTGACATTAATTACAGTTTTTTTTAAATGAGACCTCCCTTGAAATGTTGAGACCACATGACATTGTGAACAGTTCATATTTTCTAATATTCTGGAAAAATGGTTTTAGAAAAAAATATTTGTTTTGGCAAAAATAAGCAGTAACAGCATAGACATACGAAAAGGGTATTCATGATAGGAATAAACTTCCCTGTCAAGCAGAATTATCCAAGGTCTTCTCTCACTTGAAGGACACTGCTGCCATGATAGCACAGGAAGTAAGCTGTATTTCTGTTATTTTGAATTATGGGAATCTTGAAGGATTATTTATTTTTCAGTTTTGATCCATTCTGGTAACAGGACAGACACTTTTTTATGTACCAGTGTTTCTTACCAAAAACCAATATAAATAAAAGTGTGTATCTTTAAAAGATAATTTTATTCCATGAGTTAGAAAGGTAATGTACAATATATAAACATTTTTTACAATATATTTTTAATTTTTAGCAACATTTTTTTAGCTCAATTTAACCGCAATTAAGCAGTTTTAATTAAAATAAAATACATAATAAGAATTACTGAAACCTAACTTTCAGACACCATGGTATGTTCTACGAAAAACACTTGTGTTTAAACATATCTAAAATAAATATTTTAATTATTATTCAACTCGGACTAAAAATCTCACTTTTTTTTAGAATGACCCATATATGACCCAATACTTTGAAATCATTTAAAATTTTACTGGCGTTATGATTCTCTATTGTACTGGAATGTAATAATTAGTGGTTGGAAAACGTACTGAGGCAATTGTGATCAATTTGATACCGTACCACAACAAGGAGGTGTAATATATCATTCAGCTTTAATTGGGATTTTTCCATCTAACCACATATGTGAGTTGAGGTGGGTTTAACGTCGCGTTCAAGATTATTGCACTTATATGGCGACGTGCATGCACGTGTGTGTGTGGCTGCTTGTACTCGTTCGGACTGATGCCGATTTATAGTGCTAGCCCACTGAGATACCATGCCGCAGTTTAACATGAATACCCCACGCAGACACAGTATACTGACTCCGAGCCGACCAGTCATTGTTTTAATGCCGAGCGCCAGACAGGGTAACAACAAGTACCATCTTTTAACGTCTTTTGGTATGACGCGGCCGGGGATCGTACCCCGGACCTTCCGCTCTCGGGGCGGACGCTTTACCTCTAGTCCACGGAGGCGGTCTAACCACATATGTACATGTAGACATGATTAAATACCATGCTTACGGTCGCCTTTATATGGATGCATTGTTGTAAAGTAAGATTATAATTTTAATACTCACGATTTTAAAAGACGAACACTTTTCATTGGCTGGCAAAACATCACAGTCTCCAAGCGGCCAATCAGAACCCAGAGAACACACATTGGTATCATCCTCTCCCTTGCAAAAGTGCCCTGATTTGCACTGAGAATGTTCCAGGCACTTTGCCATACACTGCATTCGTCTGGTGACAGGGACGTCGAGCAACGTGGTGTTCACTGACTCTCTCTGAGAACACGCGAAATATTTCTGCTGGGTAATCTGTTGACCCCTCACTAGGACCAGCAGGGACAAGTGGAACAACAGGACGAGCAACATCACAACTGCAGGCCAATCAGTGTAAATGTGTTCCTCAAATCAGTTGTGTTTAATCAATATGGTTATGTCCAACCGATATATGTGCATCTCATCAGTATGGCTGTGTCCGATCAGTGTGAATGGATCCATTCTTTGAGACTGTGTCTGACCACTTTTGCCACCGTTGCTCTCTTGTTTCTTTACCGAAAATTGCTGCAAATATAAACAATGATGGCCCATTACTCAACCAGAATGATGTCGCAAAGCTAATTCAGTTACGTTGATGGTCAAAACTCAATCTTATTACTTAAATTTCTTTTCAGCTAACCCTCTTTATTGTGAATCCATTGATACCCAGTATGTACTATTCCCCATGGAAACAAACAAACCGAATGAGGTGCCAGCTAAGACTGAGCCGTTATTGATTTGTTCGTTTAGTCATGGCCTTACGAAGAAAGGAAGTCGACAATGTAATGAAAGTTGCATCCTCGATTATCCGGTTTATTATATTTCTGTTTATATATAATTATGTATGCCATAAAGGAAATGAGATAGTATTATGCACTGGATAGTCGATTACGTGAAAGGTACAACGTGCGTATTCAATCAATATCATATCTGTATTTGAAATCAAGGATGTGTATGCATAGCAAGACGATGGAAAAACAACGAAAACTGTTTTATCATCAGAAGCTGATTTTCCATTTTTAGTCTACGTAAGCCGAAACGGAAGGATAACTCTTCCGCTAAAATGCGGACAATCTTGACATCACAGGAAATTCGGGCTCACTATATCGGGCAAAATCATACCACGGGCAACAATGAAGCAGTAAAATGGCATAGATTCAATGTAAACCGGGCAACGTCACATCCAGCAGCAGAAGCAGTTTTGTAACATGAAGGTCGTTTTTCAACACACTGTCAGGTTACTTAAGAGATGAACACGCTGTGTTTGCAAAGCAGTGCTGAGTTATCGGTAGGTTTAACGGCGCTAAATTGAATTTGAATCCGAGCGCTCGTGAATTAAGTACGCACTTTTATTTGTTGATAAAATCAAACGGAAATAGCTTTTAACAAATTCGTACGGTTAATAAAGATAAATATATCCAGGTTCATGCAAACTATGAACATTTTTAAACAACAGTTACTGTCTGTATCTGACCGCCACCGTGGTCTTGTGGTAGAGCGTCCGCCCGGAGAGCGGAAGGTCCGGGGTTCGATCCCCAACCGCGTCATACCAAAATACGTTTAAAGTTGGTACTTGTTGTTACCCTGTCTGGCCCTCGGTATTAAGGGACTAAAACAAGGACTGGTCGGCCCGGAGTCAGCTCGTATCTCAGTGGGCTAGCACTATAAATCGGTATCAGTCCGGTCTAGTACAAGCACACACACACACACACACACACACACACACACACACCATTTCACCTCACCTCACCTCACTGTCAGTATCACTGCTGGACCTGGTATGCTTCAGGGAATAGAAATATAACATAAGTAAAAGCAACAAAAAACATTTCCATAATAATACGAAAAGTCTGCCCCAAGTCACCAACGCTCTACGATGCCGACTATATCAAGAGCATGTGTTTATGAATCACTATCCAATAGTGATGATACCAGGTGTTCACGAAAGGGTGAGCGCATCCTGCCCAACAAGTTCCACCCGTCACAAACACAATGAGTCATTCAAGAACAAGTCAATTGGGCATCTGAAATAAAACCACGGAACATATGGTACAACTTAAAAGAGGGAATTGTACCGGTCCTATCGGACATCATTTTTGTCACTGATGATTTAAATTTAGAAATGTTCTCCTCATCTCTACGATAAACGCTGTCTTTGCAGTGTAGATCGCAGTTATCTGTAGATTTAACGACGCTCAATTGAATTTGAAACTAAGAACGCACATAAAACCATTCTAAACTTCTAAAAGAGATTTCATTGTTAAGAGAGGTATTCTAGTTGATCTATGCTTTCCCAAAAGTAAAACCAAAGAATTCAACCGACACACTCACCTTAACAATTTGATGAATTTGTGGGAACACGAGCTTAGATGGAAGTGATAATCACTCAGTTGCCGTTAATGACTACGTATCATAGACGTTGTTGCGTGACTGTCTCACATACAAAAAAGCCCTGACGTTGTGACGTTTCTCTCTCCCTGAAGCTGTCACAGAAGTCCCGAAATGGTGTCTTCACTGTCGTCCTTAACAGGCGAGACAGGCTTGCAAAAGCCGCTGTTTTTGATTTGATAAAATGCTTTCATTTCATTCTCTTGAGCAACAACACATCATTTGTCCTTTATCGATTTAATCACATTTAACCACCCGCTTGCTTTCGCCTTTAGGCTATTGCAGAGAAAGGATTAATTACTTAAATACTGCTTTTGAAGTTGCAATCATATGGTTGTGACGTTGGGTCGTATGAACAGTGTTCCTAAATGCTTGTGTTCGTCTTTGACATCAAGCGCATTAGGGAAGCGAAGACGTTTACTGTTATTCTTTTCTATTCCATAAAAAGTACATTGCATGGGAAATAGGCAAAAGGTATTTAAAACCTTTTGTATTCTCTGACATTTTGGAAACACAGAATACATCAATAAGTATATTTGCTGTGCTGTGTTCAATATTCATTGCCTTTCATGAGAATTAATATGTAGGTGCATTACATGCGTTTTACAGTAATCCCCCGTCGCACTTGCAGGGAACATAAATATGATCAGCGGATCCGTAAGGGTACCCAGTATACAACTAGGACGCCAGGGGTCATACGTCGCACGCCAACTTTAGTTTGTCATTCTTCTTTTTTAGCATTTTGTTGCAAGCTATGTTCACTCAAACACATCAATTTCTAATCATATTTCACTTTGAAAATAGTCGTTGTTCCGACATAGTCTGTATTAAAAGCCAACACCCATTTCAATGTGAGGTGAGAACACAACGTTGCCTTGGTGTGTACAGATGACACTGATGCCCCAGTGGTCTAACTGTAGAGTTGCGTCCCGTAGGTGTACCAGAAACCTCCGAACGTGGGTTACAAGATTTCCCCTTGATGATGTTTGTAGGTTTGTCAGCACCATACCCGTGTGTCTGTGGATTTCACCAAAGTGTTAAACGTCAAAAGTGTTGAATCTCACGCTATGAAGTAACTGAAACTTTACAAAACTCTTTTAATCGTTGTTGGCCGGTACATGCTTCTGGTATTGTTTCCGCTGTTTATAGGAGATAGGTAAATGGGTATTAAGAAATCTTGATAATTCATAATTCAGGAACTTTTTTCTGATTCGAAGATGTGTATCCATAGCCACGCATTGAGGAACTAATAAAGTGCGATTCACAGTACTTTTTAAAAGAAATTACCTGCCCCTTGCTGTCATTCTGCGCAATGGAGTGATTGTATAAACATGTGTTATTATTGTGAAAGTAGATCCATTCCTGCACATGTAGAGTCATAGCGTATTGTCTGATTGGGCCGGGTTTTTTTCATATCTACTGTAAAAGGACGCCAGCATTCGAAGTTTAGTATCTCATCAGACATTAACGTACAATTGTTGCTCCTTGCCCAACAAAATTCCTACTTTGCCATATCGTAATAAGTTCTTATCAAATACATTATTGCAATCATCATATTTAACATTTGATAAGGGGAAATAATTTTAAAACTTCGTAGTAACTAACATAAGCTTTGTTAGCATGTGATTTTGGTCCCCAAAGATTTTTCATATCTCTTATTTTTATAACGCCATTCATTCACGGATCTCGCGTGCAATATGGTATTTATGCTGCAGTACATGACCATGAAATCCTTGCTGCAGGAGTGAAATGTTGCACGCTCATGTAACAAGCATGAAGCTGTTAATTTAACGATTGGAAATGCAACTACATTCACAAAGACGTCAACTAACCTTTGACATGACGAGTAGAGGCGTTGGTTTGCTTGAAGCGGCATGAACACAGGTAGAATCCGGCAGAATCCAGAGACAACACAACGTAGGTCATGCAAGGTCTGCAGCAGTGACTGATGGCGGGATTTTGGTGCTTCAAGCACGACGTTCCCCTAACATACAGTTTTTATAAATCCTATCGTTGTGCAAACCTCTTCAAGAGGTTTCTTGAAAGCTTCATTTCAGCCAAATACCTAATTGATTCAATATGTGCAACGAGATACTATCTCCTTTGTCTGTTTAATACATTCAGAAAGCATTTTTCGTATTTCCTCTAACCATAAGCCCCCTCCGGACAGTGCCCTTAATCCCCAGCGCTATCTATAAATGTCAGGTAACACCACCCTTCATCGCAGGATCTTAGGTATGTACGTGTACTTGGGTCACTCACCTTGCGCTACCTTACATAATATATCTTCCTACAAAATCTGACCGACATGTTAAATCAGACAGACCGGCCAAGATCATTGATAGGAGAGGACGGATTGTGCTGCTAGTTGTCGCGTCGGCTACGGCCGCCGCCTTAACACCAACTACGTCGATGATGAAGAATCGCCCTCCAACTTCCTCCCTGTGTGTAAGTGACAGAGCGGGTCTATGCACCAGGAACATTGGCCACACGGTCATGGTGTGCGTTGTGTTCCCTGAATACCATTTCTTGTACAATTTCGACCTTTTTCATCCTGCAACAATAAACAAGGCTGTTTTCGTTTGAACTTCACCCCTGAGTTTTGCCTTTCGCCGTCTCACTGAACTGCCATCGGAGGGAAAAGCGTGCTCTTGGACACTAGGCAAACAGCAACTCAACTAAGGAACTCTGGTGTGCCTGTTAACACAGACAGTACGTAGGCGTCTATCAAATATTGAGCAGACGCCAGTATATATCACTGTCTTTGACAACAAAGGCTCTATTTAGCGAAAATATCATCACTTGTAACAAATGGTATCTTAAGATCGTAACGGTGTCACAAAAGAATTCTTTTCTCACTGAAGGACACAAAAAGGCGATCGAGTTGGCTTATGTTTTTTTCCGCCACTCCGATGACTCGTCTAGTTCGATTCCCCAAATGGGTCAGTGTTTGAATGACTGGGACGGTGGGGGTGGGTTGGCTACGGTGGACCTGTGTGTGAAAACCAATCTTGTTTTGCAGTGCAGTTAGCCATATTACAGCTTCATGATGACGGCTTGTGGATAATCGAGTCTAAACATGGCAATATGCTGATAACATGAGCACATTCTGCATC